TATCATCCATTATTGTCTTCTCATAGCACACACGTGCTTACACGCATGCGTGTGGCCTCACACCAAGTAAAAACGCAAGATGAAACTACTAAAGTGCACCATCATAATATGAGATTCCAAAGTGTAGATGATATCAAGAACAAACACTGCATCATCTGCGATTCGAACAATTTAAGGATAGTGGAGATTGGTTGTAGATATTATAACAAGGGGGAAGTGAGGTGCCATACTTAGCCCTAATTATGCCCCCCCCCCCCTCCCCCCTATGCCGATGTGTGCGTCTCAATTTCACATCAACACATTTCCTTACCATATGGAAATGGAATAACTCGTTTCTCCCTCAAATACAAGCACCATCATTTAGACATGACCACCATCATATTCTCTTCCTCATACCATTGTCTTTTGTACATTTAAGAGTAGGCACCCGAGGGATCATACTATGCATATAATCCCTCGAGCAATACGCTTATTTGGTTTTCTTGATTTGAAATTTTGGGATCTATCTAATCATAACCAGATGACAATTTCCTAAAAAAAACTTGGATTTTAACTTCTTGAACATCTAGATCATTCCTTCTAAAATGCCATATTTCAAGGACATGGAGTGTGAGAGTTTAAGAGTTTTTTTTTCTTTGAAGTTGGTTACCAGCTAATAGATATGGTATCCCCAAAATTTTGGGATAAAAAGGATATCGCTAGGGTATGTTTTACCGGAGGGAGTAGATGGATAGTAGACTCCCAAGGGAGTAAGAAATCTTATGGGTGCATTTAAAGTGGTTCATAATTTTACGATTCCCCATCAAGTTTTAGAGAGAGAGAGAGAGGTGCCTTTCAGCACTAAATGTAATTTTCAATAAGAAGTGGAATAAAGGGGGGGGGGGATTAAAGGTAGAGGGGAACATGTGGGCTCCGACTGGAGGGAAAGGAGGGGATTATGCGCACGCGAGCTCACTCACACAAGTGAGTTCCTTGTTTGCGTGTTAGAATGAGATGAAGAGAGAGAAAGAGAATGTTAGAGAGGTGGGATCGGCACTCTAGGAAAAATTAATTAGAAGTGGGAAAAAGCCATGAAAGTGGGGGGTAAAGGTATAGGGAACATATGGACTTGGATTCCCGACCTTTTTCCCTTTAACTATTCCTCAAAATTTTAAAATTAAGGGACTCATACTTTAGTGGAGCGTGGCTAAGGGCTTATACACCTTTCTAAGCGTGGCCCTTCTGTTGGACAATCCACAACCAGCGTTGCTCCATGCTTTCCCTAAGGTTTCATGCCCCACTCTCTCTCTCTACACTGCCCCAACACCATGTATGTGCAATACCACTATTATATTTATCCATATCAAACCGAATCCCATTTTAAATGAAATCACCCACTTCTCTCTCTCTCTACTTTCTAGAGAGAGAGAGAATACTTAGGGCAAGGTCTTATATGTTTGGATTGGGCGTGTTCCTTGTTCCCTCGAGAGTAAACACCAATGCATGAGATTAGTATTATTATTATCCTAATTGTTGTTTTTTAATTTTTGGTAGTAGTTTACTTGTTGTTTAAGCCCCAGCAAACCGTATCACTGAAGAGGAGAGATTCGACCGTGTCGCGCAATCATGGCCTGTAGAGGTCCCTTTTTATTTATTTTCCTTATTTACTGACCTTTGAAGATACGATTCGAATAGGAAGTTGATGGTTTCATCATGGTTGAAGCGAGGCACCCTTCGTGGAAAGGGGTTCATTGGGTACTCAAAAATCTCACAGTTAAATATAAACTTTAGAGAGTGAGAGAGAGAGTTTGAGGCACTATACAAATACGCGCGCTACACCTATGAACACCACTGTTCCAGACCACTACTCGGAGCGAGTCCGAGTAACTTGGTACCGGAGCAAGTCGAAGTAACTCGATACCAATAGGACTGAGAACAATAGCAGCAAACAAATGTCAAAAAAATAAAATATAAAAAATTAAAAATAAGTAAAATTAAACAAAATATATCTAAATGCGGGGCGAAGATTTTACTGGTGATTGGGGGTATTTTTGAAAATTTTCAAAAAATGAAAAGATGTAAAATTGAGTATGTGATGGCCAAAATACTTTTCAGTTTTTTGCCGAAATGATTGAAACATAAATATATATATTTTTTAATATCCCCTAGTTGGACCCCCGAGTGGAGACGAGTCCAAGTAAACCGGACAAGTCTGAGGTGACTCGACCGGTTTTTCAAACATTCCTGCACACAGCCACAACACGCATCACATAGATACAAATAAGAGGGAGAGGGAGAGGGAGAGGGAGGTGAGATCTTGGTCTTATTTGATGGTCAGGGAATAATCAGAAATGCTGGTGTGAAGGCGACTTAAGACCTAATTTTAAAACCTTTTTTTTGGCCCTTTTTCTCAGAAAATGGGAGTCTTAATCATTCAATGAGTGAGGGGTACGTACTTGGGGTGAAGGGATTTTAGGAATGGGGAGTAAAAAGTTTGGAGCATTGAGGGAAAGGAAGTCACATGATTTCCTAGTAAGGCAAGGGCATCTACAATTCACCCTTCTCAAATCAACCAAGTAGAGAGAGAAACAGTTTTAGAGAGAGAGAGAGAGGTTTGGAAAAGAGTGGGAATTGTTTAGGGAAAGATGACGGGAGGCTCGGGAAAGGGCAAAAAAAAAAAAAAAATTAGAGAATATAGTAAGGGGCGAGGGGTCAATGCTTTTGCATATTTATATGTTTACTGTATCCACTTTTTCTACTCTTTTCCTGATTTAAAGGATAAAAGGGCTTGCTTCCATGCGATTTCCGAAAACCCACTTATCACTAAACCAAATTCCAATTCGTCATTGATTTTAAAAAATTATTTTTTCACAAAGAGAGAGATGATGTTGCATTACGGTTTCTTAAATTGCAGGCGACATTTATATTTGACGCACGTGTGGTGTATAGTGTGCGCCCATCGTGTTCACTTTCAAGGGAAAACGGAACTATGCAATTACCTCCACCAACACAGTGCCATTCGAATTTGGGTTTTTTCCGGGACCAATGGAGGCAATCCAGTTCTAGGAAACCTGGAATGGCCTAGTTCTCCCCATTTCTATTTTTTATTATTTATGTATGGGTCTAGATAAGGGTAGTAATGCGCCAGGCCCTGGCAGCCCAGACTTGGCCCTACCCTGACTGTTGTCCCTATAGAATTGGCTCAAGTTTAGCCCTTGGCTATGTTAATGCGGGTTGGGCAAGGTTGACGAAGAAAAATAAAAAGAAATTGATGGATGGATCAGCTAAACTAGACCACCGATGACTTTAGCCCTACCCTTGGGCCACAACTCAAGGGTCATACCCTACTTATTTAAAGACAGGCCATTCGGCCCATTGTCCGACCTCCTTGGTGAATCGGAACCGGTCCCATGGCGATCCGGGTTGATTCCGATTTTTTAAAAGAGTGTGTAAAACTGCAAAACAAAGGATGGCGGTGGCCTTAAATGCTGGCTCCACTCTTTTGTCTCTCTCTGCTTTGCGTCTTCGCGCGTGCGAGGCGAGCACTATGAGAGGGGGTCAAAGGTGGTGCTCTCTCTTTTAAGTTTAAAAGAAGTCTTTCTTTTTTAACATATGGGATTGGAACTTTATAAATAGACAAGTTCTTGTTTTTTTATTTATTTATTAACGGAAGAGAGAAGCTCTTGTTTATGGGGTTAGTTAGCTTTGTGAGAGTGGTTAGCAGGAGAGGTAGATCCGGATCTGAAGATCGCCCAAGATCCTTTCTTGAAATACTGAGACATTTTTTGACCTAATTTTGGTGATATTATTCAAAACGGGTGGAATATTTCATGGAAAATGCTTTCATAGGGCTGCAACCCTATCAATTTAAGGAAAGCCTTTCCTCTAAACTCATTGAAAATTGTCGTTTTGGTGTTGGAAAATCTTCAAATCGATTGTTTTGGCTTTGACCATTGTGGTTGTAAAAAAATATTAGGATTTCAAACTAACAAAATAGCATATAATGTAAAACATCATTTAGACAATTAATTTCACGCTAAAAATATGTGTTTAAGGATATGTAAGATTTGTATTCACTTTTTGAGCTCCAAATTTCATAAACAATGAAGGAAATTGACTTTAGAGCCATCATGGAAATTTTTCGTTTTCAAAGTATTTTCCGGATAAGGTTTCTAAATGGGAAAAAAATTATGTAAAGTTGTATCCTAAAAATGTATAATCAAGGTACATCTAAAAATTCCATCATAAAATGCTGTTTTAAAGTTGGAAAACCCTTTAAATGATCATCATGACATCGTATAAATATGAAAAAAAAAAAAAAATTTCCAATCCCAAAAATAATGTATTGTGCAACCTATTATCTATATTCAAAATTTTTATATGTTTATAGATCTACTTGATTTGCACTATTTTTTGAAATCTATAAATTTTATTATTAAAGACGACCATAGTTTTTGTCTTAAATAAATTGTATTTTAAAATTACATCTTCTCGTAAATTTTGGTGGTGCACTTTATTTTGATTGTTTAAAGCTAAATGAGGTCTTACTGTACTTTTCATATGGCTTAGGGACTATAGAAACTATTTGTCACTTCTGAAATTATGTACGTGGCTCTGGGTTGCCATTATTGGATTCAAACCCGTTGTCCCACTATTTTGTCCGTAAATGCGGAAGGTAACTCGAATGGACGGTCCGGATTCAAGTCGACGTACACGTCGAGAGATAAAGCAATTCCTCGAAAGAAAAGGGCATATAAGAGAAAGACAGAAACTCAATCGTATGGTTAGTATTGTGACACCGCATTCCGTTCCTCTATCCTCAGCCGTCAACTGGGAGAAGGCAACAGCTCCCATGAAGCATAGCAACGAAGGGCTAATGTTGTAATATTGGGAGAAACAAAGGGCATTAGTAAGAATTTTAACCGGGGTTCGAACCATACCAGAGAGTCAACCAAGTATTGACCAAGGGTCTTGATTTAACCATACACCAGGGTTATATTATATGCCTGCTCTTCCTCCCCAGAAGACCAAAGCTTGCATTCGCCTTTGTTTATCTTCGAACGCCTGCGCCCACTTTTGACTCTGCTTCTTTATTTTCTCACTCTCTCTCTCCTCTCACTCTCTCTCTCCTCTCTCACTCTCTCTCTTACTGGTTCTCAGCCATTGAGAAGCTCTCTCTCTCTTCATTTCTCAAACTCTAGCTCTCTTTCTGTTTCACTCTCTGTTGTAGAAGGGTTGAGGTAAGGGCGTGGTTTGACGGCTTTTCTACTGGTTATTTTGGGGTAATAGCACATATCTTATCAGAAATTTTAGGAATATTTTCTTTTATAATAATGCATCTACCATCTATTTTGGTGATTCCTGAAGGTTTTCAGTGTGTAGAGTTTGGGTTTGGGTGGTCAAATCCCACCCTTTGGTTAGATGCCTGTTATTTGGGCGATGTTCAGTGTTCATAATGCTTTTGCTTCGTTCTGGGTTTTTTAGATCTAAAGGTCTAAGCTTTGGGAGTGGCTGTTTTTATGGACTTTAATTTTCTGATTATTGCTCTGAAGTTATATTGCTTAGCTGGTGTTTAACGATTTTTAGGTTTTTTTTGTGTGTTCTTGTGGACATTTTGTTGTGGTATTCATTGAAAAATTCTCATGTTCTGGTTTTTATGCATGATTATTAATTTAAGTACTTGATTTGTAGAAGCTTTATGGTTTCTACGGGCGAAAATCGTTAGAGAATTTTAATTTTCCTAACCTTGGGCTCTTCTTGCATGGAATTTTGGGGAAATTCTTGACATAAGAGAGTCTTTGTTATCTATGTATGTATATTTGTTTAAATATTTGGCTTTAGAGGGTTTCTTGTCCATTGTATTGAGTAATAAGAAATAGTGCTCCGTTTTATAGGATCTTTATTCAGTCTATTTAAATAATTTAATGAAGTGGCTCATGTCAGAAGACTTTTTTTTATAAAAAAAAAAGCTATTTCTTGTGATATTTTGTCCTTAGATAAACGAATTTGTTGGTTTTATTATTTGTTAGTGCGCATAGTATTGTTTTTGAGTATTTTCCACTTCCACATCGCCTGATGGTGTTATTCTTTTCATGGTTGACGCTTCTTGTTTGCTTGATGTGCGATATTAGTAACGTTTATGATGCATTGAGTTTGCACTGTGCGATGAAACTTCATATTGTTGGCATTTGAAGTTGCTTTCGGTGTTCTTTGTGTTCATTTCTCATTCTTCTATTGTTACATGAGTAATTTCTAGAGTGTAAGGTTTGCCTATTGATATCTTTTTCCACAAAATACGTGAGCAATATATTTGTGTTTCAGTTCCTGACTTATCACTCTTTTTCACATCCTTGTGCTCTATCTGGTTGCATTTTATCAAAACTAAGGTTATCTTTAACCTTATCATCTACGAGCCAAATTTTGTTGTGTGCAATGTTTCCATAGCCCGCACAATGCCTCCGGGAAAAAAAAGAAAAAGAAAAAAAACAGTAATACGTCCATGCCTAGTCAGGGGTCCGCCCCTGTTTTCATCTGGGCCAATTGAAGCGAATGGATTGCCTGTTTAGGGCCTTTGGCATTGGTCATGTTTTTTCACACAACCACATTGGTAGTCTGGGTGCTAGTACTTGGCTTCTCCTGTATCTTCTCGCAATGCTCGTTCATCACATGTTCTCCTCTATTTGTAATTCCGTCTTGTTTCTGTTGTTATCATTATTTCTAAATGATTTTCTGTGTTTTTATCATACATTATATTCTTCCATCTTGTTCATTGCATTGGTTTCTCAGATTCTGGCCTTACTTGGTAGTAACTCAGTCGTAACTATGAGTGTCTGTCACATGCACATGGACATGGACATGGTGTGAATGCTCATGCATGAACCTGTTCATTTATGTAGCAAGGGGAACGTTTAGTAGTTTTGTCCTGCACATCATCTTTTGTGGTTTTTTTTTAATAGATTTTTCTGGATGTGCTCTTTTACATTCAGTTAATGTTATATTTTTTTTTTCTTATGTTTTCTTTGCATTTGCTTGGAAGTAGACAATGGATTCTATTGTCAACCACAAGATATATCTCGTCTTTGTTTTATTTTATTTATTTCCTTCTCAGTTGTTTCCAGAGTTTTTCTAGTTCATTTCACTTTGAGAATGATGACCAATATAAATAGTTACTCGCTGCAGGGATTGGAGGACCTGCATTTGACTTACTCTAGAATTGAAGACTGGCTTGAGCCAAATTTCTTGTCATCTTGGAAGTCTAATTAGTAATTAGGATAAGAACAGTATGCCGTGGTTGACTCTCTCTGTTGATGTACTCAGGAAAGGAGTATCATTGAACTTGTATTGTAGGGTTATCCTGTAAACTGACCTGCGCTTTCTCGTTCCTCTGTCACCTTCTTTTCTTCGAATTCATGGCTCCTGGGGCATTTAATCTTTTCACACTTATTTTTTTCCGCAGGGTTAGCTAAAAAATTTAGCCAATTCAAGCTCACAATTTCCTGCTCTCATTTGTGTTTCACAATATTCTTCCTCCCATTTCCTTGTGGTGTAATCTCTTTAAACTTGGAAGGTTCTCTCGTTCTCTTTGCTTCCATTTTAGTCTCTTTAAAAGTGTTGCACTCTGTTGTTGGTTGGCAAATATAATTTGCTCATTCCAACGTGCCTATTCAAGGACTGAATTCTTTTTGGCATCCTTCTGATCATTGCGTTCAGTCTTCAACATATTTGGGAACTCATTCCTTTGAAAAGGTCTACTCCTGTGTGTCTTTCTTGCATTTGGCTCTTTCTCTACCACGCTAGGCTGGGTTAAAGAGTTTGTTTAAGGGTGATCGAAGTAATGGTGTGCCAAGCAGCCAGTCAAACGAGATTCAGGGCATTGAAATATGAAAATGGGATTGCGGGGAGTGCTGCCATAATCGTTAGAGTTATTGCTTGCTTTCAACCTTTGCAGGATTGCCAGGTTAGTTTTTCATATCGCTTCTTTACTCGTAAAGACTTCTATATATCTGCTTCATTTATATATCTTCTGCAATCATTTGTTATTTTTATGTATCCACGTTATCAGCAGTCTTATTGTCTCTCTTTTCATGTTTCCTTTTGCCAGGCTGAGTATTTCCGTCATTTGCTGAAGCCTGTAACGTAGACTAGCCGCTTCTCTTGTTTCATTTTGTTACCTGAGCAATAAATTATCTCATTACGGAATGGAGCATGGTAACAGTTAAAGACTTCCTGGAATCTGTATTCACTGTGTTCAGAATGGGGCATAGTAATAGTTAAAGACTTCCTGAAATCTGTATTCACTGTGTTTCTAAAAGAAGCTGTGATAAGTTCTACTATTTGGAGATTGAGTTCTTAAAGGTATGTCACCCGAAGTGGCTTAATTTATTATCATGCTTTTTATATGTTTACTGTTCGATTGATGAATGAACGATTCAATTGCTGAATGAATGGTTGGTGTTATTTCACTTGCTACCAGGTGTCACAATTGTCATTTTTGTTGAATGGGGAAGAACTATAACTTTGATTTTTGTGGGCAATCTCCAAGGCCATTACCTTTTATGAATTTATCGAGCATCCCATCTTATGGGTTGAATCCTAGTATTGAGCCAACCACTCAAGAATACTTCCCAAGTGCGAGCAGCCCAGTTCCTGACTTTGCAGTTTCAGCATCTCCTGAGCTGAAACTGATTGATTCAAGTGGACCAAGTTCATGGTATTATTACTGCCAAAATGGTAGTAACCCATTCACTACGTTCACTTCTAATCCAGTTGAAGAGGGAACGGTGTCTTTATTCCCTCATGAATCTCGTTGTCTGGATCAGAAACCAGAAGCTTCGTCATCCAATTTGGGTGCACCTAGCAGGCGGAGGAGCTTCATAGTGTTTGATCAATGTGGAAGCAGGAGAAGCTTGTTTTTTGGGTCTATCCCCTCTCAATCCCAACTGCCTGATTCTACAAGCCCCAAAGGATTTGACAGTTCTTATTTCCGGTGGGGTCCCAGTACTGGCCTTCCTAACCAGAATTTACCGGCCATTGTCGAGAGAGCTAAAGCTGCTCAAGGTGATGAATCTAAAGAAATGAGTTCAGCTGGGCAGGTTAGTGAGATGCATGAGGACACTGAAGAGATCGAAGCTCTGATGAGCTCAGATGATGAGGAAGAAACCAGCACCGGACATTCTCCATTGGACATGAGAGAATTCGAGAAGGATAAAGATCACTACGAAGAATATGAAGAAGAAGAAGAAGAGGGAGAAGAGGTTGACAGTTATGTTTCAATTAAGAGAAGGAAAATTGACAAAATGTGTGGTGGTGTTGCATTGGGAGCGCCACACCATGTATCATTGATGGATTCTGCAAGTTCAGTGAAGGGCCATGAGAAGTGGGGCTCTAATACCGGCTTCAATTCTACAATGGGTCCTCAATTTCATGGCAAGACGGGTACAACTAGTGGGTCCCGATGTGAGGAAGAAGCTAGGACTAAAAGATCGAGGAGAGACAAGATAAAGAAGACCGTGGGGATCCTAAGGAAGATAATCCCTGGTGGTAAGGGCAAGGATGCAGCCGTGGTCCTTGACGATGCTATCCGTTACCTCAGGTCCCTCAGGTTAAAAGTTAAAGTGGCGGATGCTGCTAGCTAAGCTTGACCACTCATTGTTGGAAAAAGTATGTCTTGGGGGATTTCATAGGTCATTTTCTGATAGTTAGGGAAAGGTTTTTTTCTCTTGATTTTAGCCGTTGGTTTTACTCGTCTTTGATCAGTAGATCAGCAGTTGGTCTTACCTATCATAACTGATTATTGAGAATCTCTCTCTCTCTCTCTCTATATATATATATATATTTCGCGTTTCAGCGGGTGTTCATTTCTGTTTGTTGAACGAGTTTCTCACGCTAGAATCAGCCGGTGATTTTACCGGGCTTCTCTTGATCCTTCGATAAGGAACCCGGGCCTCTGAACCTTAGGGAATCTCTCTCTCTCTACCGGATTCGGACAACTGGTTTTATGGTTCATTGTTAGGTAAGAAGGAATTTGTCTCTAGGGTTCTAATGATGCTACTTGATCTTTGCTTCACTGTCTCAATAAGGCGTGCAGGTGATGGGGCTCACACAGGGCCCCAATTCAAAGCCCCTTTGGAATGATTAAAGCGTGACCGTGGGAAAGAGAAGCATGCAATTCAAAAAGATGAGGGGCTTAATTATTTGGTTGGGTCCTCTCTCTATACTTGATGGAATGGATGCATAATGGGCTAATTACAGTAGGAGTAAGAGTTGGAGAGAGAGAATGTGTGAATGATTTTGAAGTCCTTTTTCAGGCTTGTTTTGTTGACCGAGCTTTCGATCGTGTGAAATCGAGGGCGGTAGGACCCCCATCCTTCCAGTTGGGCCTGCTTGTTTTGTTGGTTTGGTTGGTTGGTTGGTTGGTATGTTTGTAGTGGTTTTTTATGCGTGTTATGGTGGTTTTGTCATATTGTCTTTGCAGCGTGCTCTCGAGGAATAGACCACTAAAAATAATAGGTTTTTTCATTCTATGATCGAATTGCCTTTTTCCTTTTTCCCGTCTTTTCTTCTGTTTGTTGTAATACTCTTTGGGAATATTCTTACGTAATATGTTCTCATGTGTTGCCACTCATGATATACAATCCAGATAGCTGAATTTTCTTGTGAAAATCAATTGTTTTCTAAATGAAAAACCCACTCATCAGGTTTCAATTGCTATTTTCTATGCTGTCCTAGTTTCCTTCCTGATAAAGAACGAACGGAAAGGTAAAAACCCACCTTAAAAAATTCAGCAATGATCGCATTCCCAAATTAACAGGATAACTCTTTGAACATTTTGGTTGATGATTACGAATATCAGTAGCAATTCAAGCCCAATTCTCGAGCTGGCGGCAACGGTGATTCTTATTTCAAACCCGCCAACTAAATTAGTTACACGTGCCCCACATGAATTTGATTCAGATGAAGCTGCTCTCTCGTTCTCTCCTGCTCCTGAAGACCAAGAAAATGAAGGCTTCCTATTTGTTTCGGTCTGCGGATCTCGATGTTGGATTACACCAGAAGAAAAAAATCGTAAAACCCATGTCGAACCCGTCGTTATGAGAGAAATCCAAAGCTTCATGGTTGGTTCCTCCTCTTTTACCTTCTGGTTGGAAACCAACTTTACCTTGTTGGTTGGTGATGTATCTATTTCCCCATTCTCGTAAACCTGCTACAGCTAGAGATGTAAATTGTTCTTCCTAAACCCCCCCCCCCCCCCCCCACCCATAAAAAACTTGTTAAAATGGTTTGTGCAGTTTGATATCAGCGATGATCATAGTAATAGCATAATAATCATGTGCTTACTTCTAAGGAGGATGATGTGCGTAGTTACCAAGGAGGATGATCAAGAGCGTGACCGAAAAATTGGCCAAGTAGTTTCTACTCGGCCAAGTCACTTCAGATATGTTTTTTTTAATATTTTTAATCATTTTTGGCAGGCAAAGATTGAAAAGTGTTTTGGCTATAAAAGCATGTTTTTATATTTTCTCATCTTCTTTGAATTATGTATATAATTATGTATATGTAGATGGGAAAGTATAATAAGAGACAATATATTTTTGGTACAAGGTGGTCGTATTAATCTTGACCATTGGATGTGTAAATGGGTGGCTGCAATTATTCTATCGATCAAGTTCAAATTTCAATAAAAATTTTCTTGAACTTTGTGACACATCTAAACCATCAAATTTCACATCGGACTGTTGTAAGCAATTGTGACCATCTTGTATCAAGGATAAATGGTCTCATTCTATACAATCTTTTTAAAAATACCTTCAGTTTTTATTTTTTCAAAAATCTATTTTGTTGTTACTTTTTTAACATCAGTTTGAAGTGTTTTGCTTAATCTTCTTTCTTTTTCTTTTGGAATTTTTTGTAAATTTTTTAACTTTTTGTTGCTAAAGTACTCGGCAACAATAGGCCGAGTTACACAGACTTGGTCCGAGTAATCAGCTAGAACCAGGACCGATTACTCGACTCGAGTCGCGGTTTCTAACTCTGATAAAGAGCGAGTTTGTGGGTGTTGTTAGAGAGTGAGCATTTGATGATGGATCAAATGGCATGGTGTTTCAGAACATGATGAGATTAACCATGCTTTGGGTGGAAATGAAGATACTAGAAGGCAGGAAGTCCTTTGGAAAGTCTCTCCTGACTCCCTCTGCCGTCTTAAAGATGCTTCTCTGTAAATACGACGTTGAACCATTTAGAGATATGACAAAGAATCATTTGACTATGTCTGTAAGAGAGGTGTGGGGAGGGAGAGAGGACGAGGTGGAGAAAGAGGGAGAGCAGGTATGAGAGAGAGAAAAAGTTGTCTTCTTTTTTCTTTTCTTTTTTTCTTTTTTCTTGCTAAAAGATTCTAATCCCGGATGATTAATTTTAGGACCCTAAATTTTGGGGATGTAACCTCTTCAAACCTAAGATTAACCTCAATTAAAAGAACTTCTTAATTATAGCCTCGATGCACTTGAAAAACTAATGTTTCTAGAGGCCATCTAATTTAGATATGAAAGACTTGGGAGTGGCTGATGTGATACTTGGTATCAAAATAGTAAGAAAAGAAAAAAGAGTTAATATCGACAAAGTCTCAATATATTGAAAAAATACTTATAAGTTCGAGCATACTAATAATAAGTTAGTCTCTACACTAATAGAACCTCATATAAAGTTAAAAAAAGAAGAAGGAAGATGTATATTCTAAATAAAATATGTTAGAGTGATTGGTAGTTTAATGTATGCAATGAGCAACACGAGGCCTGAAAATGCGTACATAGCGAACAAACGTCGTAAATATACTAGTGGACCTAATAGAAAGCATTAGGCTCGAGTATTAAGATATTTGAAATCAACTGTTAATTATGATATACATATGTGGGTTATCCCAGAGGAGTTAAAATTATAGAGTGATGTAAATTGGGACATGAAAGTCTAAGATTCACTATTAATATCCAGCTGGCTATTTACTTTAGCTGAGGGAGTGGTATCATGTGGATTAATTAGGCAAACATATATTTCCCACTATGCAATGGAGTTGAATTTATTGCTCTAAATTCTGTCCATGGGAAGCAGAATTGCTTAAGAATATTTTATATGACCTACCAATATAATATAATGAAAAACCAATATTGCAGTCAAAATTTATTGCGACAATCATGCTACTTATACTAGAGCATACAATGATGTATATAATGGTAAATTTAGATATATTGCATACAGTCACAACTCTATAAAAATATTGATAAGATATGGAGTGATAAGTCTAAAACATGTGAAGCCAACGGAAAATATGGCATATCCTTTGTCTAAAGGCCTTACAAGGGATGACGTTGATAAAATGTAAAAGAGAATGGAGTTAGAGTCTATAAGGTAACCATATACAATGTGAATCCAAACCTGGTCTTTTATAACTTCAAAATTCTAAGTTTAATGTTGTAATAATAAGTTGTATGTATAATTAGCTTGGTTATTCGATGAAAATTATTCTAAGCTCCCATTCTAAGGAAATCAACATAGTGGATAAATCCGATGATGACCTGTATGTAAGTAGGATAAATAAAGCTTTTAGTGATGTATATGACTATTTATAAGTAGGAGTGTTTCAAAATATAGGAGCACTCTTGATAGGCACAGCCATATGAGTGCGGAAGTAAGGCCGCTTCATATAAGATGAGACTCGTATTTAGAGTACCTCTAAAATTGGGATATACTCACAAGGCCCAAAATGTACTGACAACTAAAATACCAGAGACATATATTATTTGTGAGTTAGACTACCAATATGTTAGATAAAGAACATGTTTCAAAGCTATATGCTACCATGGAAGTTGATGGATTTTATAGTCTATATTTTTAGTGAAGGAAAAAGTTTATATGAGGTTGCAACTTGAAAATGTAGAATTACATATGCACCTCAAAAATCCATCGGAAAAGGTTGTTTAAATATTGAAGACCCTCTAATTGATCATCTCGATGACAAAATGAACAAATATAAAAAAAAAAAAAAAATATTTTTGAGTCCAAGAAATAGTGCATCTTGCAATACATTATCTAGACCGTCCATTTTCAAGATTTTCATTTGTTTATAGATCTACTTGATTTTAACCATTTTTGGAGTTTAAAATTTCATAATTAGATATGAAATAGAGTTTGAGATAATCCTACAATTTTTTTACACCAAAATTACATGTTATGATAAAATTTGGAGGTGCACCTTAATTAGATGGATTGTTTAATGTTGCAACCTTATAGAAACCACACCCTTTAAGTGAATGTTCATATTAAAAGATACCTTCATGGTTGGTATATGATTGCATATATTTTTCATATTATATTAAAATGGTGGAGGAAATGTTAGATTATTTTTTTAAAAAAAATACTAAGTAATATTTCAAAATGATATGCTTTCAAATGAATATTTTCTAGAATTTTAATAAATAAAGAGAAAATGATAAGTAAGAATGGCTTTTATATGGTAATACTCTAATGCCTTATGTTCATAGAACAAATAAGAGAATGAAATGTACATATATGGAGCACACAAAGTGTGTGACATGCATGTGGGTAAAAGGGCATTTGAGGTGCACTTCACATGCTTGCATCGGCATAGAGACACCCTTAGCTCATGCACGGGTGTGGGCCGGGCTTGCGGCTTGCTCATTCTTTCAAGACTTGATCCAGGTTTGAAACATTGGACGACCTAGAATTTCGTCTGTAGAAAGTCCTAGGGTTCAAGCATTGTATGTAAAATCGCCCGATCTAATTGCTAACCGTTCGGTTAGATTGGAACCGGTCTAATCGCTAATCGTCCGGTTAGATAGGAACCGGTCTAATCGCTAACCGTCCGGTTAGATTGGAACCGGTCTAATCGCTAACCGTCCGGTTAGATTGGAACCGATCAGTTGCCAATTCCGGTTTTGAGCGGTTAGGGTGATCAACCCCTACTTTTTTTAAAAAAAATCAAACAAATATATATAAATTCTCAAAAATAAAGAATTTGATTTGAAATGTATTTTTAAATATTCTTTACATTATGATAAAGTTTAAAAATTGTTTGGTCATTAATACTCACTTTTTATATTTTCCCATCTTTTTTAGAAAATTTAAAAAATAGCTCTTGGAAAATATAAAATGGGTTAAAATCCATTTTTTCATTAATTTTCAACTTCATTTGAATGTGTTTTGTTTTAATCATTTTTTATATGCTTTTTATATTTTAGTAGATTTTTTTTGTAGTTTTTTTCAATACTTTTTTGACTGCCCGGGATTTGCCCGATTAAAGCGATTGAATCGGCCGGTTTACCGGTTAGGTCAGTTAAACCGCTTCCAGGCCCATGTCCAGTTAACCATTCCGGTTCAATTTTGCAAACACTAGGTTCGAGAAAGTAAAAAACCTGTCCAAGGTGTGCAACATGGGACCGTCGTAAAACTGAAATAGAAAAAAAGTGAAAAAGGAAACTCCTTATAAAATTGCCCAAAATATGGATAAAAAAGG